TTCCTGGGAAAACTTGTGAGAAAAATTACTTTTACTTTGTTCTTGTTCTCTCTTGCTTTTTCAGAATTGTTTTGGAGGTGCATTGAATGCCTGGAGCCTGTCTCCATTTCAGACTCATCCTTTTCTTAAGCAAGAGCCAAACTGGTTGAGCTCAATGGCCCTAATCAGGAAAAGATTTTGTGTTGTTCACTCCACTGCCTTTGTGGCAGGCTCACACCAGGAAATAAGGTTATTCCAAAGATGGCTCTTTGTGGGTTCCAGACTAATCCTAAATAAGCTTTTTACTGTTTTGAAATTAATGATTAGGATCAGCAGTCTTTGCTGGAGTTGCTGAAGGACATAACAGCATATTTTTTGAGGTAGCCACACAGTTACCTGCTAGTCACTGTTCTGATACAGGGGCAGTGAGAAGACTACAAGAGTCTTCTACTTCAAGGTCATGGGCTAAAATCTGGTGACCAAGAAGTGATCTTGCCAGCAATGTTCAGCACCTTGGCAAAATTAGGTGATGGATATACTTTAACTTCCACAAAAATAAACTTTCTTTTTCTCAGGCTGAAAAAAAAAGATAACCAGTGCTTCAGCATACAAACTAAATTACCCTTTGCACTTCTACCAGTGATTCACTTAGAATAATTAATTAATTAGGGCACAGACATTTGAAACAGGCTATGTCTGCTCTCACTGATGTTAAAAATAACTTTTGATTAAGGAAATCCACGATGGACCTTCCTGGATGTAAGTGAGCACAGAAGTAAACTTTGGACTCAGATTTAAGTTTCTGAGTGACATGAAATTAATGTTTATAAAGAAAGAACAAAAAGATTTGGAACAAAAAGATTTGAACAAAAAATTATGGCCTCATTTTCCACAGTGATATCTTTAGAAACAAGGTCTTTTGAGGCACTATCTCTGCATGCAAATAACACTTTTAATTTCTCTTTAATTCTAGTTACCTGTCATATTAGTTATCATTTAATGTCTCAATTTGCTGATACATTACTGAGCAGCTAAATGCTTGGTTCTTGAGAATTCCAGAATAATTCTATTTATGATGAAAATCAATTCCCCATTTCTGGGATATTAAGACTTTAAATTGTTTTATTTATTTGATAATCTTAGAAGAATCCTGTTGTATATGGCAGAGGTGCACAAAGAAACAGCAGTGGAACAGGATGTCTGTTTTGGTGAACAGGAAGATTCAGCAGATAAATTATGTTGATAGAATCAATAAAATTTAAAAGTACAACTACATGTTAAGACTTAATCCTCATTATCACAGAAAACCATCGCAAATACATTGAAAACAGGAAAACAAAACTGACACAAAACTTACTGAGGTGTGACATTGCAGAGAGCCTCCAGGGAGCAGGTAGAGGACCCATCAAGAAGCCAGACCAACTTATGCACAACTCAGCAGACAAAGCTTAAAAATTACTTCCTAAAATATGAGTGAACTTAAGTTAGGGGGAATGCGCAGTTAAATTACTCAAAACCCAAATAAGATTGCTTTCTTAACCCACATGTGGAAATTATCCGAAGTAACTCGGTTTCCAGGACCGAGAACAGAAACGATAAATGATAAAATGTCAGAAGATCAAACCAAGTCATGAGCAGCAATTCAGTGTGATTTTTCCACAATTAATGGAAAGATTCACAGCATAACCAGAGGAAGGTCAGAGGAATCCCACTGATGAGTCATATGACCTTACTTCAACACAGACCTTGGAACTTCACTAAGGTGCTTCTCTTACTGAGCGCCATGTCACGTACTGAAAATATCTTTTGGAAAAACATTTTATCAGGATTTGAAGACTTCAAGTGACAGAGTGGCCTTTAATAAGCCTTTCACAGAGGGAACCATGTCATAATCACAGATTTATATTATCGACTCAAGAATTCAGAGGGCAGAACAAGTCATTCACATCCAAGTTGTGCATATCTCTTGTTGAGAACAGTGAAAGCCCCTTTTTCTGAAAGACACAAAGCATACACCCGAAGCCATATAAGAAAGCAGACTGTATCTGTGCACATGGGGTTTTTACTAGAGAACTCTGGGGTTGGTTTTGGTTTGTTCTTTGATTTCTTTTTTTTTCAAATTTCAAAGCCTTTTAACAACAAGTCTCCTACTTCTCATTCATGCAAAGCTTACTTTGACAAAAGACTCCTGGAATTGGCCCTTAATTTGACTTTTTTAAAACAGCTTTCAAAAGTACCATATCTTAGACTTTTCAAACTACTGTACCATGAAAAAGGAATTCATTATTTCTTAGGCTTTACCTTTTGCGCATTGGGGCAGAACAGAGCAATTTAGATTGCCTGATTTCTAAAAGATACAACAAATCCACCTTTTGTGTCAGAGCTAAAAAAAACAGGAAAGGCTGAGAGTAGGAATGTTTACAAAGAATTTTATAAATTCAACAAAGATGGCAAATACTGTAAATCACTCTTTTAGTTTTACATAAGCCTTCTTGCAGAAACTGGGAAACAATTCTTTGTTTCATAACACTCCTGCCAATATCTCATTAAAAACCTGAATGCATCTAATTCCTGCACACTTTAAGAAGAGGAAATGTGAACCTCTGTAAGACTACAGTTTTTCCAGTGACAAAACCTCACTGTTTCCCTTCATATCTCTTTCTTGCAGTTACTCACAGCCCAGAGGCTGTCCCCATGACAGCTCTGCAGACTGAGCAGCTCTCCTGTAAGACCCCTTAGAGAGCAAACTCACACCAGACCAAGCTTTGCTGAGAAGCAGCCAAACTCTTCTGCATTATAGTTCCATGAAGACATTCAAATATAATTAGAAATCATTCTTGACTAACTCCTTCTGACTGTATTACATAATGGTCACAGATCTTGAGCATCAAAAGAATGTTGTTAACCCAAAGCACGGACATTTACCTGGTGTGCAGATGCCAATATACACACAGAGCAGAGGTATTACCTGTTTATTTCATTTCTGTAGAGATGGGTGCTAAGTGATAATCCACAAAGCTAGCACACCAGCCTAAAAACTCTTAGGAATATTTATACCCTTCAAAACACAGAAATACATACCCTTAATTATAACTATTGGTTAGTACCTTATCTTAAATTTTTTTATTAGTTAATACAGTCTCTTGTTTTCATTTAAAGTTACAAGGTCCCTTAATTGATGTGTGCATGTACCTCCCCCAGTACCATGGGTATGGTAGTCCAATTCAACCTCCAATTGAGTTAGTGTTCGTGATCTCCCACTGCCACCTTTACCTTTCCCCCAATTACTGCAAAATCTTGTTGAATTCATGCCTTATCCAGCAGCTGTCTGGTTTTCAACCAGTTTCAGTGCCTCCTGTTGTGCAATGTTCCTTATTATCAGCCTTCTGTTCTTCAAGGATATATTCATCAGCAAGGCATTTATTGTTTATACCAGTTTCAGTGCCTCCTGTTGTGCAATGTTCCTTATTATCAGCCTTCTGTTCTTCAAGGATATATTCATCAGCAAGGCATTTATTGTTTATATCAAAAGTCTGGTTTCACAGGGCCTCTGACCTTTTTACAGCTCTTTATTCTTACCTAGAAAGAGATTCTACCTTCTAAAATATATTTTACCCTTTTAAAAGTATATTCTGCATTCTTAAAGTACCTCAATGTGATTTGGGTTCATTTTGACATTTGTCTGTATTTTCTTGTATGTAAAAGACATTTATGTAATTCAGGTAGATATGTCAGTTTTAAGAAAAGGTCTACTTTTTTTCCTAAATCCTTTTGGCTGAGAGCTTCTAAAAACATTGTACTTGAATGATACTGGAAAAATTGGACCTTATTTTAAAGTTCACCATTTTACTCTTTCAAGCTTTGAAAATAAACTTGAAAAGCAGGGAATCCTTATTTTCCAGTGTCATTGGAAGTATTTCCAAAACTTTCAATGCTAGAAGTTTGTTCATTAGCAGGTCATTTTTAAGAATTTGAATAAGTTTTAACACTATGTATGTGTGCATTTGTGGGGTTTTTTTTGTTTGTTTGATTGACCTAGATATAAGGCGCATCACGTTACAGACCTCTGAGCAATATGAATTTCGATTTCTGGAAAGTAAATAAATGAGAGCTTGGAGGAAAGAGGAGATGGCTTCTCTGTCCTTCACTGACTTTCAAAAACAATCTTTGATATTAAAACATTTGGAACTAAATAAAAAACACCTTTGAACTGGCTTTCTCTTTGTGAAATTTAAATGAAGACAGAACAACAGATAAACTAATTGCACTATCTCATCTTCAAGCTGGAAAAGAGTATGGAGATATTGGGTTTGGTTTTGATTTAGATAAAAAGGGATATAGTTTTGCTTTTATTTTGTTACTGGAATGAAGCTAGCAGAGTGAGAGCTTGGCTCACAACTAGGAGGATTCCTAGGAACTCTAATTATAAGAATGTAACTTGATTAGGTGCATCAGAAAAATAAGTTGAAAAATAAACTTTTGAAGAAGGGTGGAAGCCTACATCAGCAAGCCATTCAGTATTCGGCCACAGGAAGCATTGTATAATAGACAAAAGTGAGCAGGTTCCTTCATTAAAAGAGTTGAGGAGGTAGAATGCCTTGAATGGTCCATATTTCTGGAACTGATGTTAGCAGATGCAAAAAAAGTTAAAGAGCATCTGGATCCTGTGATATTCAGTGTTGCTATTTTTACCAATTTTTTTAAATATTGCTATTGGCATAGTTAGCGCCTGTGATTTGTTAGATATTGTACAGACAGTAGAGAAAATGGATAAGGAAAGAAGCGCAATGGAGGTTTTTATGACCAAGATAACTGGATTCAATGTAAGCATTGAAGAGGAAGGACTGGGAACTGGAACCTCATGGGTCAGGCCAGGTAGAACTTCTAGGCTACTGAAGCAGAACCTGAACAGCTGAGATTGGAGGAAGAGAAATATAAGGGGTAAGGCAAAAAACAATTCATTTTTTTAATGCCTTCCTAAAACAGATAATTCCTGGAGTGTTTTTTCTGTTGTACTGCAGATAGTTTGTCACTGGACCCTGAAGTCTCAAAGGCAAATGCCTATGGTTTCACTGGCTGCCTGTCCTCTGTTCGGTACAACAACATCGCTCCCCTGAAAGCCGCCTTACGCCATCCCAGCGTTGCTCCTGTGACTGTCAAAGGTTCCTTGACTGAATCCAGCTGTGCATCCATAATGGAAGCTGATGTGAACACAGTAACTACGATATATTCCTCATCAGGTATGTTGTGCCAAGAGGGAAACAGGGAATTTAAAAGATACTGAAGGGTGAGATTTCCTTTCTTTCTGCTATAATGCTTTTGTGATAGTATAAGTATTGGAACTGGGAAGTTGCCTTTTTTTTCTCAGAATTTGGTGTATTGAGGATGGGCAATGCAGTTGGCCAAGGCCCCTTTAAAAGTCATTGTTAAGACTAAGCTCTTGGATTGCCTAAAAGATAACTAGAACAAATGAAAAAAGTCCCAAAGTCATAGGGGGAAATAGCATTGGAAGTATGGTTATGCACCTGATTTGCCATTCCTGTCTACTTTAGACAGCACGAGTATTGCAGATCTCAAAGGAGAACATAAATGTTACATAGGCTCTGTATCCCAGTGGTGGTGAAGCAATAGGAGTCACACAGCAAACAAGTTTAATTTGTTCCCACCCTGGCAGAAATGAACAAAAACTTATTGTACAAACCCCTTGACACCTGTGCGTGACTTCCATTGAATGCTCGTACTTTGTTCTCTCAGGCTAAGGAGAAGGAGCAATACTTGAGTGGTACCAGTAAGATGATCCCGATAGTTCATTTATCTTTTGCAATCCTGAAACTGCCCTCTGGGAATCTTAAGCATTTTGCATATGTGAATTTGTATGCAGAGAAGGAAACTCAGAGCAGCTGGAAGTGTTGTCACCAGGAACAGGGGCAATCAAGTTTATGCTTTAGTCACCAGTGGATATGGCAGAATTCTTAATGACCAGAAAGGGGTACAAATTATGGGCTATTTTTTGCCCCTTGACCTATGAAGCCACTTTGTCTTTTCTGATAACTAATAAAATTCTGGTTTAGATCATAATATGATTCCTTTGACATTTGTACATGCATCAAATCTCCATTTGCTGCAGCTTCTGCCTAAGATATTCAGCAGAAAACAAATGATGCTATTAGCATTCTGCATAGGGAAAAAGGCTCCTGATTACTCTGTGGAGAGTGGCTGCCAGTGTGTGCGTGCTTCTCCCCACCCCCAACTTCCTTCTCACTGCCCAGGGTTGTCTAAGGTATCTGCTCTGATGCGCAGAAGAAATGTCTCTCATAAATACCCAATGGGCAATGACACTGAAAATATGAACTCCTTGCCCTATAAACTATCACCTTGGTGATCTAATTTTTGTAGAGTTTAGAAAGCAGTAGAACCTGAAGCTTAGAATGCAGGACAGAACACAGGGCAAAGTCTTTGGACACTTGCAATCAGTTGCACTCTATTGTCAAGGTTAAGCACTGTTATATCAGAAATGCAGAATTAATATAAAAGCTCATCCCTGTCTTTGCCACACTCTGCTTTAAAATATGATTTCCTCTCCAAATGATGTATTAACTGACACTACAGCCTCACTATTCACACTGGATTTGATTAAAGCCTGAATAAGATCTTTAGAACAAGTTAGTTCTGAAGACTTCATATCTTTATATGCCATAGTAAGAGTACTGGGCGGTAGATTCTTGTTTAAAAAAAATTCCAATTTGTAGCAAATTATACTTCATATAGATGTGCTTGAGAATTACATTCATACACAGAAAGGAAACATTTTAAGAAATAAAAAGAAGACAGAGCTAAGGATTAACTTTCAAATTTACTGCTCATATCTCAATTCATCAGTTCCCAAGTTCTCATTATGGAGTGTCTGAGAAGAAAAATAGAACTTCAAAGTTGACTGTACATGTCTGTGTCGATTTCCTAATGTACAGATACAACAAAAAAAGCCCTCTAGGAAATCTTTCTTTAAATGTGTGAAAAAAGCTTTCTATATTTATAACTTGAAAACAATTGAAGCTCTATCCTTCAGAGACGGATACTTGCTGTCTTCAAGAAAGTTTCCTAGCAGACAGATATGGAACAAAATCCGTTCATTCATGGCTCAGTTATCTTTATGCACTCTTTCTGATTAGGAAACAGAAAATGAAAGGTGACTTACTGTGTTTTTAATATATAACAAAGGTCTGCAAATAACCTTCTTCCTTGCAGAGGCACATGCAGAGGTTTTGGTATTCTGAACTCTACACTGATGACAGAGATAATGGACCTTTACTATGCTTTTTATATATATATATATATATATATATATAAATTTACATAAAAATATTGTAAATGCCACAGCAGATTCAGCTGTGTGAATGGTGGATTCTTGAGCTCTCTGTCTACTTCAGCTGAAAGCTGGTCTTCATGCATTTAAAGCAAAAAAATGCCAAAGACTTTCTAAAGTCTGAAACTATACAGGAAAATTTTGCTTCTGAAAGGCAGCTCAAACAGTGCAAGTCGCTGTCTCACTGTGATAGTTGTGCAGGATCTGATCTTTCCAAACAAGGAGGAGCTGGACAGGGATGTACTGTGACAGCCTTGGCTGTAGTAACTGTGAGATGTTGGAGTTCAGGATCCTGAGAGGAAGGAAAAAAAGCAGAAAGCATGACTGCAACCCCAGATTTCAGGAGAAGAACCTTTGACCTTGTCATGGACCTGCTTGGAAGAATCCCATGGAATATAGCCCTGGTGAGGAGAGCTGGTTCAAGGATCACCTATTCCAAGGTCAAGAAACCTAGATTTCCTGCTCATTGAGATGGATCAAATGTGGCAGAAGGCCCAGAGAAGTTGTAAAATCTTAATCCTTGGATCTATTCAAAACCCAAATGGACACAGCTCTGAGAAACTTGCTGCAATAGACTTTGATTTGATTAGATGATTACCAGAAAGGCCTTCCGACCCCAGCAATGCTTCCAAATGAATTCCAGTGATTCACACTGTGATGTCATCAGTTTTATCTAAAAGGATGAGTATGTCCTGTTAAAGTCTCATATGAGGCACAGTATTGCTTTTCCTTGACTTCAGAGTTTATTGTGTTCCCACTGGAGATGGTTCTGCTGTCACATGCCATCTGCTCCACTGTAACAAACCCTCCTCTCTTTGTGTCCTGATTTTATTTCTCAGGCAAAACACAGTTTTTAAGGCCTATGTCTGTTAGCCTCCATTCTGAAACTCTAACATGTTTTCTGTTTTTTCCTCTCAGTACATAAATTCTGGTAACAGTTGCAAAAAATTGTGAAGCTTTAATAGAGTTTAGTGTCAACTCTTATATAATCTCTTAGGCATGAATGACATCTTATATAATTTTTAAGGTAGAAATTTAATTTCATCCTTTTTTCATACAAGTTAATAATCTTTCATGACTCTACTAGACTAATACCATGCACCAGATACCAGCTGGAGATTTTTCTCCAGTACAGGAGGACGGATGTTCAACACGTGAATTTTTACTGTAACTGATTTCACTGGCACCACCTGAGGGCTGTGGTAGAAAATATCTCACCAAAATTTCAGTATCTGAAAGTTAAATCATCTTGGGTCTAAAATAATGATTATGCCCCTCTTTTAGTTTGTGGGAAGAAACAGGCAAATCTCACTGTCCATCTTTGACAGCCATATTAAGATATAAAGTATCTGTAGATACTCTCTTCCTGTTTGACTAAATTAAAAAAGCCTAAATTACCAGTTTTGATTTATATAACTAACTCTGAGATACTGATAAATAAAGGAGATGAGCCTACCCATGATGTACCAAATTATGAGCAACCTTGATCTAACTTTGAATTTGGCTATGCTTTGAATTTATGCTTGAAGGACTGAGATTAGGGTAAATAGTCTCCTGATTTCCCTTCCAACCCAACCTTTTCTATGATGTCATCTATTTTTATGTGTGAAAAAAACAATTTTATTCCCATTCCAGTCCCACAAATGTAGTAAATGAGAGGAAGCATTGCCATGACTATTTGTTTATTGGCAACATCACAACAGGCATGCAATATCCAAGCAAGGGGCCTCTTTTAAATAGGTCTTAACTTGAGTGTCCAAATCTGTTGTTGGCAATTACCATTTATGTTAATAATGGGTGTACTGGAGGTGTTTGGTTGGCCCCAGAAGTCCCTTTTGTTCCTGTAGCTCAGTCAATGAACTTTAGATATGGGGAACCCTGACTTTTCAGTATGAATGCTTTTGATGAGAAATCCTTCCAGTTCTAAAACTAGCAGTAGAGTTTCACCTTCTAAAACGTGAAGCCTCTTTGAGGCTGATGTCTTCTGCACATTTTTGGGGCTGGTATCAGTGATGTAAAGAATAAGGAATAAGTGCCCCTTTTAAGAACCTGAATGGCCCAAAAGCCACCATCATTACAAACTCAGCACCTCCTCATACACAAATATGAAATTGTTGATTATAAACATCTTCTTGAGCAAAGAGATACCAAAATGTGGCTAAGTCAGCTACCAAGGCAAGGATGCTCAATTGCAATAATCCTTGCAACACTGAATTTCTCAGTTAGGCTTCCACCTCTTGCATCTGAAAGATCAGTTTGATAAAGCGTTATAATATATAGCAGAGACATTCATCCATAACTCCCATGTACAGCCTCTGTATGATAGCCTGAAGGCTTGTAAAGGAGAGAAACACAGATAGGAATCTCCTCAAAGGAAAGGTTGAGCTGAAAGGAAAAAGATGTGAAGGTGCAGAAAAGCTGGATTCAGCTAGCAGTTGAAAACACAGCATTTTCTGAAACACACAGGACTAAAGCTAGTACACTGCCATAGCTCCACTGACTTCAAGGAGGGCTTGACCTCTCGGGTTTGGATCTGAATTTGAAACTGCCAACATGTAGACTGTTTGGCCCAGTGTTTTGGCAAGAGTTGTTTATAGATAAGATACAAGAGAGCTCCAACACTGAGAAGCCTATAATATAAGAATTAATTTCTGACCCTTCTCTGTTTTAAATCCAACTTGACCAATGCAATGAAGAGGAAAACGTCCCTTCCAAAAAACTGTCCGAAACAGAGACTGCTTCTCTTTATGGGATTAAATTCAACTTGTATATCTGCATCTACAAACGCAGGTCAGGTCTAAATCTGTCTAGTCTTCCTTTCTTTTTGCTGCTTTCTGATATTGTTTCTTAGGTATCAGAACAAAGAAGCAAGCAAACAACAACCCCAAGCTCTGACTGAGAAAAGCTCCCAATGGGCTATCTAGTTCAAATGTCTCTCTGATTCTTCTACCGATAAACTGAGAGAACGCTTTCAGATGTTAGTATGAGCTTTTATGTTTCCGTTTAAATATACCCTTAACAGATTTTGCTCCTGAAGATGTAGAAGAAAATTGTCCTGCAAGCTCACTTTATTTTTCAGAGAGCTTTCCGGTTCAATTCTCCAGTCCCCCAAATCACACCCTTTGAAAACAGATTAGAATTCATGAGGGTAAGAGGACTCTTCTGTGTAAGCCACAGAGAAAATGAATGTAGTTAATACAGAAAATAAGTCCTGTTTTGTTTAACCAACTGCAGATCCTTTTGGGAAGACAGATGAAAGAGAGCCTCTCACCAATGCAGTCAGAAGCGATTCAGCTGTGATTGGAGGTAACTTCATTTTTAAAGATTACAACTGAAAAATAATTCTGTCAAGGCAAACATCTATGCTGCTTTAAATCTGTGTCATAGAACCCAGTTCAAGTTTTTTGTAATCTAATGCAGGTCTAGTATTTGCTGTATTTATTAGCACATATCTGTATCAAGCTTCCATGATAGGCACCTGCATTATGCATGAAGTCAATGGTGGTGGATATTACCCCAAAAAAAGCATTATAAGTTGTCAAGAACCTGAATGTTCTAAAATATAACAAAAGTCTGTCTATCTGCCTGCTTGAGCAGGGAATTTGGACAAGATGGCCTCCAGAGGTCCTTTCCAACCTCAACCACTTTCTGATTCCATGTGATTTTGTGATCTAAGATCCAGCTAACTAGTAGTTGTTTTACACACTACTCTGATAAGAGCTTCAACACAGTGTTCACATATCCTGTATTTCTTGAGCTCTGTCTTTGCAAGCTGGTGGTGTAGTAGAACTCGTTAAACCATATGGAAACATTTATATATTAGGGAAAGTTGCCCTTATAGCTTCATGTATGGTTTTCAGTTTCTTTTAACAACCTGGAAGGCCGATTTATCTCTGTATATTTTATAGGATGCCCTCTAGGGAGCTGCCTTTGATAATATCTAGAAGCTATAAACCAAAGTGTACAAGGCTCATGCAAGGTTTCCAGAGATAATACAGAAGAAAATACAACAGAGCAGGAATTTGTATGAGCATACAGATTTAGTTTTTTAAAACCACTGACCGAGATTTACTTCCAGTGAAAGCAGAATTTGACTGAAATTAGAAGGTCAATTCCATCAATGCTTACTGCTTTTGGTCTTACTTGAGGTGACAAAATAGAACTAAAAACTACCAGGTTACCAGGGAGAGTCCGATAAAGGCAGATGATTGTGTATAGACTGAAATAAACTGATATATCCGCTAGCTCTTGTGCATTGGTAATGTATTTTTGAGGTAACTCAATCCTTTCTAACCCCTCTTCAGGTGTAATAGCAGTTGTGATATTCGTCATCTTTTGCATCATTGCCATCATGAGCAGATTCCTCTATCAACATAAACAAGCACATCGAAATAGCCAGACAAAGGAGAAAGAATACCCGGAAAACCTCGAGAGCTCCTTTAAAGCTGACATTGACTTGCAGAACACAGTGAGCGAGTGCAAACGGGAATATTTCATCTGATGGACAATGCAATTTCTTCTTACTCTTTCTTCCCTAACCTTCCTTTCTTTATTCCTTCTTTTTTTCTTTTTGTAATTTTTTTTAAACATTCATTTTTTGCTAACTTCTTTTTCATTTGGAAAAGACTGCCCTGCACAGGAAACACTGACAACAATCACAGTACCTCGTTCTCTGCACAAGAACCTGACTGTCACAGTTTACTTCTGCAGCTCAAGAGACCACCCTACACAAAATAAGATCCACATGCACACCTGGTTTCTGCTGTGGGTTCCTGGATGTTTCAAAGTCTCTACATTTATTTGTGCTTTTCTCTGGAGCCATTTAATTCATCACTTTTACACTAGAGCTGGACTATGTAAAGTAGAGGTAAAGTAGCTGAACACGTAGCTCTACAGATACTGGGACAGGATAGAGGGAAAGAATGAGACCAAAATGCCTGATTAATTTTACAGGCTCATTTAGAGCAATCATAAAGAACTGGCCAAATTCTCAAACTGTATGAATTGATATATGCCTATTGATTTCAATGGTTTTACATTAATCTATAGTTGAGAAGCTGGTCTGAAGTAAGGAAAAATAAAACTGTCCTCATTAAGCTCCTTCCCCCAACCTCCTGTCCTTTTACTGTAACTTTTAGGCTTATCAGTACTTTTCCAACAATATATGTATCAACAATAAATGTCATTCCCATGCACCTCTTTCACCTTCATCTCATATGGCTGGCTATGTAGACCCAACATACTCTAGCATAACTCTAGCTGAAGCATGGAAAGTAGTAGCTTGAATCTCCAAGGGTTATAGGAAGCTGCTAGGACTTAGGTGCTCTATATTTCTCTGAAATATTAGAAATGCAACATATATCTGTTCATGCCATATGGAGGGTTATCATGCACTGAGGTTAAATGCTGTTGCTGTTGTAGCAAAGAAAAAGTACATAGACAAGAAAAAACAAAAATAGCTTAATCTTAAATATGACTCACACCTTCTGCCAGTCCTTCTAAAAAAGAAAAAAATTCAACTACTAAAAAAAAAAGGAAACAAAACTGCATGAAAGATTGGTTGGTATTTCCTGTTTGTAGAAATTGGAGTATCTTTTCCAAAGTTAAATAGAGAGAGGTCTGATGTCACATCTAAAAAGCTTAAAATTTAATCAAGCCTGTTTAGAAGGAAGAACATTAGGCAAACAAGTTAGAAAAGATCCCAAATACTCTTCTTTGAATTAGCCTCTGTCCTGTTTTTCTAAAGTCTTCTGTCCTTTCCTGATTGGGAACAATACTGAAGACTCAAATACTGCCCATTTCACGTGTGCTGCATGGTTTCAGTGTGAGGCTGAAAGACCTTCTTTTCGGTCACAGACATCCTAAGGTAAGAAATGGAGAAGTCCCACCAAGGGATGTTTTTCACACCCTGCGTGTGTCTGTGACATACTGCCTTCGCAGGGTTTCTGAAGACTATGTAGATTTTGCTGTCAGACTTGAAGGTTTCTGACAGGAGTTGAATCAATCCAATAGATAAGAAAAAAAAAAAAAATACCCTATTTATTGCAGTGCTCTTGATAAGAATCAATTCAGTACAATTAATTGTGTAGCTGAATCCCTTTCTTTGCCCCCTTCACCCTTCTGCAGTCATTCTGGGGTTTCCACACGGTGATCCTTTTCACATAGATTAAAATCAAAGAATCCCAGTATGAGGTAATAACCTACAGCAAACTAGCGATGACGCTACCCATCCAACAGGTGCTTTTTTTCCAGGCAATGCATTGCAAAGGTATGTAGATGGTTATTTTTTTTTTTTTATGGGAGGAGGGGACAGACAAGGAAGAATAAATAAATGACAGTGTGGATGTGGTGATTCTTCACCGCTTCTTTTGGAAGATTTTGTGAGAAATAGCGTCAGTGAAGAGAAAGCAATCTTGGTATGATATTGCTCTCACATGAAGAGGAATATGTGAGGCCAGCCCCATAATCGGAACTCTGTCTGAGCAATTTTATAAAGCTATTTATATTGAAATTAGTATTGGTGCCATTCTTCCTTGATCACAGTCAACAACAGCCGTTTTGCTTCATGCTGGCTGTTTGCATGATACATGACTACGTGAGAGTGTTTCTGCATGATGAGATGTGTAATGATGGACTCATTAGCTGTTTTCCCTGTACATTGCTTTATCTTTTGTGGTGAGATCCTGGCAAAGCAATTCTCTTTTCTCCTTCCTTCCTTCCTTCCCCCAGATAAAGCTGCTTTGTTTTTCATGGTGGGAGGGGAGGAATAAGTAAGCACACGGGCTCCTCTGCCCAAGTTTGAGTCATCTTATCTGAAACGGACTCTATATGAGACATCTCTGAATCCTAATGTACTTAATTAACTTTATGGAGAATGGAATAGGAAGTAGAGGAAAGCCCACAGCTGTATGTTTTCTCTAGCCAAACTAACAGATACAAATCATCCTTCTGCTTTCCCACTTGTTAATTTCCAGGAATAAAATTACTACAAAGTGCAACAATAAAGCACAAAGCACCTCCAGCAGTGGAGTATCTGGAAAAGGGAGACTGAGCTATGAAGCAGAGTCCTGTCATTTCTCAAGTGACTAAATTACTTTTGGCCATCTTAGGACCTGATTCTGCAAGACACTGTTCTTTCTCAAGGAGGGTCAAGTTCCCTTCACCAAATGCAGATATTAGTGTTGCTGCAAATTTTTCAGATAAAGCTCAGTCCTAGGCCAGAGAGCAGGTGTAAGTGGAATGCTGTGTGCAAAACCAGACCTGGCAAAACAGTGTAAGTGGTTTGTTTATCTTTGTTTCCTTATCCTCATTTAATATAGCTCAGGCTGGTAAAACTCTTTGAAAAGTATAGCTGCGTTGGTGTGAATCCGTAAAACGAAGAAGTGCACAGACAAAAGTACATGCCTGAGTATACAGAACCATATGTGTCTATACCTATGGATGTAATAAGTTGTGAGTATTTATACGCAACAGGGCTGGACAAATGAACACATTTGTATGGACTTGCCATTTAAAATCCTATCTTCTAAATCAGGATTTCAATATTATTCTTATTAAAAGGTAGCTAAAAGACAGCATATGAAGTACCCTAATACTAAGTCTTTTTTTTTTACTTTTTGACAATGCTTTCATTAGTGAGGGCATCATCTGATTTACCTCACTACCAGTTAAAGGGAATTAAAAATAATTATTTAAAAGAGAGAAGAAATGCAATTTTGCAAAATTCTACCAGTGTTAAAATTCCTTTAGTTTTCCACAGTTCAAATTAGAAATCTTATTACAAACCACTTTGCTATTTTTGTTAAAGTTGCTGTTTAATTGTGGGGCTCTTCCCCTTTTTCTTTTAGCTATCATTCCAGATAACATTTTTCAGTAAACGTGGGGAAAGATACTATTAATATATGAAATGTCAGGATTTATGTGAGTAATTTTTTGAGTAACTTGGTCTAGTGGAAGGTGTCCCTACCCATAGCAGATGGGTTGGAACTAGATGATCTTTGAGGTCCCTTCCAACTCAAACCATTCTATGATTTTATGATTCTTTTAAAGGAAATCTGAGGGTATCAAAGAATTGTTTGGAGACGTTTGGGTTTTCTTCCTTCTCTCAAGACAAGTTTCATAACAAAAGTAAGGGGCTGGTAGAAGGATACTAAGTCTCTTTTTTTCTCTCATGGTGTTATGGCATGGAACCTCTGAAAATTATTTTTGCTAGGCAGGGATTTTTAGGCTATAGAATTTCTAAACCACTGAGATATCAATTTAGGCACTGCAAAAATCCTGTTTTCCAGAAATTATTTGGCCAATAACAGCCATGCTTATAAAGATGTTTAGTCATGCAAAGTGTGAGTTGGATGCCTGTAAGGACTGCCTGAGAACCCTCATGGCTGGCTACAGAGACAAATGAATGCTGTCTGACAGAAAACTAAATCCCACTAACTTTCAGTGAGACATAAGCTGCCACCTGAGTGCAGTGTGGGCTTTCAAAGGAATTTAGACTCCTGAGGATGTGGATCAATGCTTAAGTGACTAAACAAGAAGAGCACTTGATTCAAATTAATTTCAGTTGAATTTCTGCTTCTGCCTCACTGTGAAATGTTTAAAGATACTACAAGACATTTAAATACCTTTGAAAATTGAGTCCCATTTGTCTTTTGGAAATAAAACACTGGTTCTAAGCAAGTCACCTATGTAATTCGCAGTATTTCATCTGTCCTTATTCACTTACTGGAGACAAGACAGTATGAATGTTTTGAGTAAATTTTTAAGATGTACACTTTCTTTTCTTTTTCTTGCCATGGCACAGTACTTAGGGTACATCTGTAGTGAAATCAAAGCCAAACAAAAGACAGGTTTTTAACTCACATGAGCTAAATCAGGATTCTCAGCTGGGTGAACCAAGCTGTGAAAACAAGCCATTTAGGGATGTACTGTTATCATATTGTGTTCAGTCATGAGATTACCCTGACATTTAAGTTAAAACTGATGGCCGAAATTCAAACATGAGATGCTTTCTGTCTGCTTTATTTTAACCTTATTAAGCCAGACTTAACCCATCCTGTTTAGCAATTGTTCCATTTTTATACTGTAAGCCAAACCCTTATTTTAATGAGATGTTTGTCTATATTAACATTTAGCTGATCACATATTTCACATATTGGGTGAGGAGCAATCAATACATCATATAGTTTCACTATAGTGAGGGGATATGAATCTTCTCCTAATGAAGTTAACTATCAATTTTGCTGAGAATAAGATTGAGTCCCAGACCTATGGAAGCACTTGAAGATTGCTTTTATCTGAGTCTTTGGGGTTTGCTTCATTTTGCATTTGGCTACCTGTTTCACCCTTGTCATCCAGGCCAGATCCAGGCCATGTGGTCAGTGAAGACAGGGAAAATGTCTCAGACAAGCTTGAAGATTAAATTAATCACTGTCTAGAGGCGCATCTTGCTCTCTATTGATTACAGAGGTAAGGTAGGCTCCTGGCAGTAGGTTAGCTACTTCTAGCAGAATTTGCCTACATATAGGAATCTTACACTAGTCTTGCAGCTTTGGTAGACACATCTGCACAGGTCTTAAAAGAGACTTGTTTTTTTATTGAGATGCCAGCTGGGATCAAGGAAGGACACCTCCCTGCATCTAAAATTAGACTAGACATCTCTGCTTAGGAAATGCATGCATCTACTTATAGTCAAATACATGAAAATGAGGTGTCAAAGCACCCATTTGAGTCAGTGGCCCTCTGATCAATAATCTGTCGGGTTTGGGAGAGGATAGCTCTCCTTCCAGTCTATTCTAGATCCAGGATCCATCCATTGCCTCGTATGGGATCTTTGGTAGATAGCATACGTGTAGACAGATCTACACAGATTTTATAAGCTAAAGCTGACTCGGACCCCCAAGATAGATACCTTTCTAGCTCTGCGTATCTGGTGCCATTTGAGATGAAATAGAGTATTCTGCAGCTCTAGTAAGGCTGTAAGTCTCCTGCCTGTCATGTCTCACATCTGCTAGCCCCAAGCAGATATGTCTGATACCTGTTGGCTTTTCAAATTATAGTAAGGGCCCATCCAGAACCACTAAGTTCTCGATGAGATGAATCACTGAAAAAAATCCCCCCTTTAGAAGAAAATCAAGCTTCCTTTCCAGCAGTGTAAGCCAATTAGTTTAAGCGTGTCCTTCGCCTCAGCTTAACAAGAGTATTACAGGAGTCAGGATTTGATCACTTTGTGTTCCACCATCTCATGCCATTGTTGTTTGTTGCCATCACTTACACAAAACTACTGTTCTGCACTGCCAGCTTTCCACAGACACAAAAGTGATTTTTTTTTTTTTTTCAGAAAGCAACACTATGTAAAAGGCTTGAGCAAAAACTGAGACCTTGTGAGGCTTTCTAAGACAAGAGCTATTTCAAAGCCTTCATGCAGTTTTGTAATGCTTACTTATCAAACAAGATAAGCGATACAATTACATCCCTGCCAAACCAAGAGCCTAATCCAGAGTATTTTGAGGTTGGTGGGAGGCCTCTTGGTTGACTACAGTTAGAGTTGCACCATGCCCTTGATGATTTTTTTGGGGTTTTCCTCACAAGTTACTATCACAGCTTCAAAGCATGATTTGTTTCCTTTGGTTCTGCACTTTGCTGTGCTTCCTTTTCCAATGAAAAGATCTCCACATTTGCTTTCAGTGTGAGAGGTCCCCTCCTCCATGCTCCTTTTGCACATGAAACTTCTAAACACACTCTTCTTTTGGGTCTGAACTACCTTTTATCTTTGGTTGTTTATTTTGAATCATACATATAGGAGTTTGGATATTTCTATGTATTGGTACTTACTTACTTTTGTGATCTTTTGCACTAAGTTATGCTGACAAAAACAAAAACTGGGGAAAAAAAAGCACACTTTCTGGTGAAATATTGTAATTTGTAAGCTCGTTGTTTGTTGTTTGTAATGTACTGAGTCTACAAGCCGAGCTAAGGAAGGATTAAGGCAACAGTTTGTGTTGACAGTGTCATTCTGTATCTAGTTCGCCTTTTTTCTTTTTCTCTCCATTTTTCTTTAACATGTGGGGCTGTCAAATTGGTGGTAAGAGGCAGAGGAACTTGAGTTACAACTCTAACCAAGGTTATGATTTTTCTCCTGGAAGTCACAGAAACCAGAAATTCGAAGAAATTTCATGATCCTCAAAATGTCAGCCAGCTGTTCAGCCAGAAGGGAAACTGCCTTCCACTATAGAGATGTAGTCACCTAGAGTTGGTGACCTGTAAGGGAAAATGGGGACATTAACTCTCCAGATTAGAATTTCGATGAGGCAGGTTAGGAAGCAAAAGCTCTCAGAATGGTTATGCTGTTGGAAACAAGGGGTGGTAATCACCAGGCGGATATGAGGGTTTCAGGTCTTTTTCCAGGATTCATTTTTGCCATGGAATGAATTACTAGTTAGTCTGCTGAAACATAGCCTTAATTTTCCTGATGATCTGTAAAGTATCAGAGATGTGCTTCAAACATGGGAGAGGCTTTCAAACCTGTGGCTGATACTAGTCTGAATCTCCAGGTAGATCTCTGGAGCTCTCCCTGTTACCTGAAGGAAGAATCCGGCATGGTTCCCCTCAAACAATTGTAACATTTAATACAATGTTGGGTACAACAGGTGACCCAAAGAAAGATGTTTGCTTAGAAACTCCTCCCTTCATCCCTCCTTCACTTAGGATGTGGCAGCTTTTTTCTAAGATACTGACTGCTATCACATTGCAACACCATTTTCTTCCTGATTACCTGGTCATAACTCTTCATGGATTTCAGTCCCACAACCCTAAAGAGATTCCGATTGATAAAATTTCTGCATGGGAAATTATTTACTCATTTTTTGCATGCCATAGCCCTTACAGTTCCTTCTTGCATCCTTTAGGCAAACCATTTTCTCACGTGTTTTGACATTTCTGCCAATGCTGAGCACGTGTATCGTTAAGAAAGAAAACTGATTGCTTCTGAGGTAAAGCTTAGATACAGCCAGTCACAGCCTCACAACCCACTCACGACACAGAGGAGTACTCAGACACCCAAGACCCCTCTATGTAATTTCAAGTACAGGTTAGGAGAACAGGCAGGTATATGTTTTTTCAGACATCCAACCATAAAGATCTCTACTCTGTCAGTTTTATAAACGAAATGTTATAGATAGACCATTATATCTAGATGATAGCAAGAAGCTAAACATTGTAGTACCTGACCTGCTTTGAAACCCACTGCGTGGAAGAAACAGAGCCAGCTTCAGCCCTGGTTGTAATCCTGTTGAGGTCAATGCAAAGATACATCACAGATGAATTTAGCCTCTGGTTGCCCTAAGCAAGGGCAGTGATGATCTCCTGCAAACCAGGGCTGACATGTATGGATTCGAGTCAAGACCTTATATTCATCATCCCCTACTGCTGTCAACAAGAGTTGCATTCACTGCAATTGTGTGTGTCTTCTAGCAGAACTGTGGATAATCCAAACTTGGGATAGGGCAATGGACTTCAGCTCCACTTAAGACCATGGCATAGCTTAAGTCACTTTCAGGAGTTTCTGAAAGTGTGTGTAGGGGGAAGGGTGGTCTGTGGGCGGTGTGTTGCCAACCAACTTAGGAGCCCACCCACTGACGTTGGAAGGATTGTATGGCATTTTAATGGAGTTCACCCCTGGGCAGACTGCAGTGAACTGCATCCTACTTAAATGAAAGCACCCTAAAAAAATATATGCAAAAAGAACAGTTTCACAGTCTGTGAAAACTAGCTGAGATTAAATACTTATAATAATAAAAAATTGGCCCTTCTACAGACAAACCCTTCATCATTCATTTTACTTTTTTCTACTCCAATTATATTAAATAAATCTCTCAGAACACTGCTTAAATAAGCAAAGCAAAAAAAAAAAGTCTTTTTTTTTTCCTTTCTTTTAATTGTCTGTCCAAGGGTAATGCAAGAGTCTCTCAGTTACAGTAAAATGCAAAATGGAGATTTAGATTATTCCCCTTTCACTATCTGGTTTTCTAAAGAGAATTCCACAGGTCGTTGCCTCAGTCCAAGTCAGTTTTGTAGACAATGTAACATGTCTTAATACACTGTGGGGGGATTGAAAAAAAATTAGCCTTAGCTTCTTTTGTTTTCTATGGTTACTGTTGTACAGAAGAAAGACTTAAACTGTAAATAATGTATATTTAATAAAAAGAGACTTTTTGTATGATTTTTGTGTGGAAGAGAAATGCCTCCTCTTGTGTTTTTATTTTATCTTATATCTGAGTGGACATTAAAAATTTCTGTTTATGGGAAAAAAAATTTCAGGCATCTACATGTTAACTCTAAGCCAACAGATCTCACTGGATACTAATAAAAGCTGAAGTGCCCACAACCTGGATTTATTGATTTCAACTATTGCTAAAAGTTATTGTCAGAGGATATGTGATCATCACCCACATCCCTGACATAACTGATTAATGCCAGTTTGCAGCACCCACTCCAGGGTGCATAAGGGCACAGATGCTGAAGGGGTCAAAAGTCACGTCTGGCAACGTGCTTTGGTAACAAATCATGCATCGTCATAGCTCTGTAGCTTTCCAGGTACCCATGCACACATACTTACAGTCCCTCCCCAGCCTGCCATGCATTAACAACTGTGTCCTGCTATATCCACGTATCCCCTCACGCAGCAGCCGCTCTGCTGGCTGTCACAGGGATCACACCCACACGTTGCCACCATCACACACATCTCTGGCATGATAAAACGGACCTGGCTCTGTCTCAGTGATTATTCCTTAGCTTTATGCTTTCAGTCTCACTGATTATTCCTCTCACTCCCCACCCCATGGAAACTGAACACATAAATCTTTTGGTCTACTTTGAAAGTTGCAATATTTAGTACTATCAACCAAGAACCAGTAAACACTGACTTTGAAAATAGCAAATCCTAATTAAGTACAAAGAGGAGGACTCTTTCAAGAGTTTCATATGCTTGGATTTGAAGCAACTCCCATTACAGACTTTCAGGGTTTAGACATTCTGTGTTTCGATCAGCCAAAGACTTTTTTTTTTTATTAGCAGGGGAGCTGTGGTTCTCATTATCTTAGGAACTTCTCTATGAGTTCTATTTTTATTCTTTCATTTCTGGACTGGCTGCCATCCAGGAGACAGGGTTAGCAAAGTTTTGTGGAACTGTGCTATTTTGACAGTTTAACTCTGCAGTACCTACACTAGGATTCTGCAGAAAACAGTGCAAGAGCACCCATCTCAGGGGTGGCCCAGCCTACCACAGGTAGGGCCACAACCAGCCATGCAGCATGCAAAAGTCATCCTACCTAGCAGCACCTTCCTGGTGTCTCCTTGTTCCTGATGGGGGTGGGAGACAGGTATTAGTTATCACTTGATTTAACAGAAACATCAAGTTGCAATGAATCCTACACCAGGTTACTTTTCTCAAAAAAAAAAAAAAAAGAGCAAGTAAGAGCAATATCCATATAAATCTTTGATCTTTCCTTCTTACCTAATATCGTGGGAGCAGTAATCTTATGAAGGCTTTAAGGACAGTACTGACTCCTACAACTTTAGTTTTAATCCAACCCTTGGAAATTAAGTTTGTATGGTTTACACTCTGGAAATGTCACTGTGACTTGTCTTCTGTTTTCCTGAGTGGAAAGAGAGATTTATTTATTGTTTTTTTCCTTAAGTCCTTATGTGGCTGCTTTAGCCTTTGCCATGCCTTTTTTTTTTTTTTAATTAATTATGTTTCTTTCTTCCTGAACTCTCTTGTGGTGAGTTAAAGACATTATTCAGAAGGCTGCATTAAATAATTACATTAGTGTAATGTAAATGCATACATCTATTTGACGGCCTAGCAAAACATGAGCTGCAGTTTATGGCTAGTTAGCAACGTCTGGAAGAGGCGACAAGATATCATGGTGGGGTGTTGTCAAATCCCCCTCTTTCTCAGCACCTGCTGTCCTTTTCTATCAGGCAGAATTAAAAAAAAAAATAAAAAAAAATCACTGCTTCTGCAGCATTCACATGAGTAACAAGTGTTTAATGTTCAAGCTTTGTTCCTTCAATCAAAGGCCCATTGACAAATGTGTACAGGCAAATACTATTAAGTGTGCACTGCTGAGAACGAAATGCAGGAGAACCCTGCTATAGTTAGCTGTGATATTTTTTTGCTTTGTACCCACAGCATGAGTACTAGGCTGCTGCAGTCAGTGCTTGTTTTCCTATACCTGTTAGCCTAGCAAGAAATCATAAAAAGCAGCCATACAAGGTCATATTGTTCCTCCTATGCCTACAAGTATCTCAAGGGAGGGATGAAGGAGGAGGGAGCCAGACTCTTTTCAGTGGTTCCCAGTGAGAGGACGAGGGGCAACGGGCACAAGTTGGAACATAAGAGGTTCCACTCAAATATGAGGAGAAACTTCTTCACGGTGAGGGTGACAGAGCCCTGGAACAGGCTGCCCAGGGAGGGTGTGGAGTCCCCTTCCTTGGAGATTTTCAAAACCCGCCTGGATGCAGTCCTGAGTAACATGCTCTAGCTCTGGGCAATCCTGCTTCAGCAGGGGAGTTGGACTAGATGATCTCTATGGTCCCTTCCAACTCTAGAAATTCAGTGAAATTCAGTGAAATCCAAGCCCCCATGCTGGTGATGTCGGTGTTTAACTCTTCTTAGCTTGAGACCATTGCTCGCGCTTTCTCAAAGCCTAAGATAAATAGCCTTTGCCTCAATTTAATCCCATTATATCCTATCCTATTCCCAACGGAACAGAAAGAACAGCTCTACCCCTTCCTGTCATGCAAGAGCCCTTTTCTCTGTTTATCAGCTGCCTTATCCCTCCAGCTCCCCACACTCTTCAGCCTTCCTTGCTTTCAGACAAACCAACTCCACTTCCCTTACACCTTTTCTTGCATTATTTTTAACCTTATGCAATCACAGAAAGCAGCCTGGTAAGAACTTAATGTTTATTTTTAACTGATCATGTACTGAGCTGCTCACTCCAAGTACAAAGACGTCAAGGGAAAGACTTTTTTTTTTTTTCCTTTTTTCTTTTTTTTTTGAGGTTGTTTTGGATCTAAGTGACACCTGGGATTAGTAAGGTGGGTGCCTATAGAAATTGAAAGCCATTCTTATGATGGCAATAATGAGCATAATTAATGAATTTATTTTGACTCACTGAAATAAACAGGAGATAAAAAGCCACAAATTGGTCGATATCTAATTATCATGGATTTTTTAAAAAAGACTCCTTTATATTTGCTTCAGTCTCTACCTTTTCTGTGTCTGGTTTGATCCTAGCACAGCTGCTGCCCATTGGTGAAGTTACATGTTGATGCAATTAAAATAATAACATACAATGACTAATAATATTTCTTTCCATTATGAAAGAAAATTATTTAAAAAAATAATCATCTTTGAGGTAAATGTTGAACATCTAAAGGGAAAGTAGAATCATCAGATTGCAGCTTCATTACAAAACTCTCTATGACCAATTTTTTTAGTGCTTTGTGAAGATTTTTCATTAAGTGGGCAGCTTCATGAGAAAGAATGTGGAAACGCTCTTCAAAGTAGAGCAGCAGCGGCTCTCTGAAATATCTGCAAAAGAGGTTCCTGCTGCCATTGGAGCCAGTGGGTCCAGCAGCAAGATAAGGGAATTGTGTTTGAAAGGGAACCTAATTGGAGGAGAGATGGGCACTCCAGAATTCAGGCATGCTGTGATTTTTGAGGGGCAATGGGTGTCCCCAGCTCTGTGGGGCACTGCTGTGCCACCCCAGTAATGGCAGTTTTGGGGATCACCTACAGAAACCATTTCCCAGCATGGAAAATGGGAAACATTCACAGCAGCACTACGCATATGTACTGAGGAAGTGGTTTCTAGATCTGGAGCCATATTCAAATTGGATTTTCTGGGTAAAGATTATTTTTTTCTGCTCTTTCTCACGAGATATACCACAATACCTGACTGAGAGTCCAAACACAAACTCACAACATTTGTAGGCCCATAAGGATGGGCAACATGGCCACGACTAGAAAGGACTTCTATCAATTGAGAAGGTAACAGAGTACTGGTTCTTACCAAGCACAGATAAAAAGGTTAGTAACAAAGTCCTTCTAATGACTAGATATGAATTGATGCCTTTCTAAGGTTAGACACAGTCCTTCTCTACTTGACAAGTTAAAGATGTGAACACGAGGTTGAAATCTATCCTGACTGTTTGATAAGGATGGGATTCAGCTTCAGGTTGGGGCATGTAATTTAGAGGTTAAATTAATTTTCTTAAAATACAGCTCTAGTGCCATTCACAATACCCAACACAAACATATGGTTGGCAGAGATGATAGAGGACTTCTTATGAGAGACCAGAACAGTAGATAGAGAAGTAGTAGTGTATCCAATGGTACCAGATGCCAGTATTTAGGCAACCAGATTTCACCCTTAACTCACTTGTCAATACATAAACGTACGTGTCCTATTTTGCAAGCTGAATCCCTCCAACATAACGTCAAGCTGCCACAACTGCATCCATATGCATACAGAGCATATGCATTACAAACTTAAAAACAACACACTTGGGCATACTTTCCTGCATGCGATTTCCTGCAGTGTGAACAGCTTTGCGGTGCAAGTGCCCATTTTAATCAAATCCGTACACTTTCACACACAAGCACAGAATCCAGGGAAGTCACAAGCCTGCCAGATAACCCTCTGACTTCTTGAGCAGCATGAAATCTGGGTGAAGTTTCCTTTTGTATTGCCAGTGGAAAAGGTTGAGAGGGGAGGAAAGCAGGCTGGATAAGAAGCATCTGCACCTTATAGGCAAAAAAATAATTTCAAAGAGGGATTGCCAGAAGGCAGATTTCTCAGAGGTATGGTGGTAAGGGAGCAGTTCAGGTTTAAAGAGGCAATGAGCTAAAAATAATCAGCATAGTTAAAAAAATATTGAACAGCTGTTTTTCACAGCTTATGTTCACCATATACAGGCTGGAGCTATTGACATTCAGGTGAAACAGTGAAGCTGACTGCTTTTCAAAAGACTTGCATCTGGGCTGCCAGGACACCCTGATATTTCAGCTCAAAACTATCCCTTGCCTTCCTTCCCACTCCACCCCGTTGCTACTCATGTGCTTCAGGAGCCTTTAAGCAGTTCATCATTACCAGAGTCAAAATTCCTAGAAAATCAGCAGGAATTTTTCCAATTACTTCAACAGGTCACTGTCTTCTGAATGAG